AGTGAGGGGGCGACGCGGGGCGGCCACGGAGTGAGGGGGCGACGCGGGGTGGCCACGGAGTGAGGGGACGACCAGGTCTGCCCGCCCTGACTCCACGCTCTCCTCCGAGAGCGGCGCCCACAGCTGCCCTCCGCAGAACCGCCCTCCCAGCCCACCGGGCAGTCAGGGCGGGCGGCCCACGCCCACACCGAGAGGGTGGTGACCAGGACCCGCGGCTCCGCCGCACCCACAGGGTGACAGCCACATGGGTGACAGCAAGGGACACGGCACAGGGAGGGGCACCCTCTCTGGACTTTTACCGGGACTGGGCATAGAAGACCTTCTTTCTGCCGGGACCCTAAGCCCGAGGAGAAGCGTGGCGCTCCCGGGCCACGGCGCAGAGCAGCCCTCCCCAGGAAGCCCGTGCCCACAGCTCGAGGGCGGGGACAGGCTGTGGGAGGGGACGGGCAGGGACAATCACACCAAGTCTCACGCCAGCTCTGCCTCTGGGTTTTTCTGTCACCGGAGCCCACGAGGTCCCTCCCTTGTTTCAGCTACTTTGAGGGGCGTTTCCACCCCTCGCACCTGACAAAGACGTGACAGAGAGACAGCCACAGCTGCGGGGCCTGCACGTCATGGCCCACGGGGCACTTCCTGCCCCAGCCTGTTTGTAAACACAGTTTCACTGGAACACAGCCGCACTCGTTCGCTGACGTCTCGGTGGCTCTCACCCTAGAGCCGCACAGACCCGGGCGGCGGGACAGGTCAGGCCCACGAGCCTCAGGCACCACCCGCCTTGAGTCGCTGTCCGGTGCCACAGACCAGCCGGCCCCGCGCAGCTGGGGACGGAAGCCCGGACCTGAACACGTCGGTCAGACCCAGGCGGGCGGCGCCGTGAGGCTCCCACACGTGAGACCCATTTTTTCTGACAGGCTGGAGCTTTTCGAGCCGTTTTACGCTCCCAGCAGCACTGAGGGGAAGGGACGGGGGACTCCCCTGGACTCTGCGCCCCGTGTACGCACAGCTTCCAACACCCCAACATCGCGCCCGAGGAAAACAGGACTTTTTCCACCTGAAACATTTGGCGATTTGTTCCTTTGTTGTCGCTTTGTAAAACGCCAGCTCCATGGGGACAGGGGCCTAAAAAGTACCTGGCCCATCACTGACTCCCAGCAAGGATCTGCCGGGTGCCGGGGGGGGGAGGGGGGTCCCCCTGAGAAAACGCCCTCACGCGCCTCCAGGATGGCGGGTGTCACAGGACGGAGCCCCCACACGGAGCTGTGGCCCGTGGGAGCCCGCGGCCCTGGACAGTGTGGCGCAGGGTGCGCACCCACCAAGGGCCTGGGGTCGGAGGATCTCCACAGAGACGCGTCCCACCCGCCGCTGCCCCCTGGGCCCCTGGGCCCCAGGACCGTGGACCTGGGTTTACCTGGATCAGTGGTTAAAAGGGTCTGACCTTGGCCACTGCCCACCGACGCTCCAGCCACAGGGTTGGCGGCCGCGGCACAGCAATGACGGTGCTAACGACAGCCGAGGGCAGCTGTGGGGTCCGCCCCGCGCCAGGCAGCCCCGCACCCTCGGGCAAATCTTTGCTCGTCTAATCCCCCCGCGACCTGGGCGTCCTTGGCCCATTTTCCTCCCCGGTTGTTTATCTACCTCGTATTGATCGGAAGCAGCTCTTTGTATAATCTTTCTTCTTTCTAATCTCTGAAGTCTCCCAATTAATTCTAATGGCTCTTTGCATCGCAAACATGCTTCCGTCTGAGGCCTGCCTCTTGCCTGGGGGGGGGTCTCCCCTCACCCAGGAGGCTCGGGCTTGACCACGGTCACATCCTGGCCTTCTCCCGGGGGCGCACGCTCTGTCTGCCGCGGTAAAGAAAGCAAGCCTTCCCGGCCCCAAGGCGGTAAAGACACTCTCCGGCTTTTCCCCGAGGCTTCACAAGCCTTGGTTTTCATATTTAGGTCTGTAACGCACCCCACTTTGCAGCTGAGGAAGCCAAGGGACAGAGGCGCCTCGGGGCTGGTCTGCGGTCGTCAGGCAGGACAGCACAGGCTCGCGCCCCTCGGAACCTGCTGCTCCCTCACACCGTCCTGGGATCTGTCCACCGTGACTGCGAAGGGCTGTCTCACTCCCTCTGTGGACACAGCCCCCCGCCACCCGAGCAAATCGGCCACTCGCCGCCCGGACGGGGGCGGGCGGGAGCTGTGTCTGGACTCCTAGAAGCGGCGCTGTCCTGAGCACCGGCGCCCAGCTCCTGCACAGAGCCAGCCGTCCCCGCCACGGGCCTCGAGGCTTGGCGTCCGAGTTGTCAGGGGTTCGCCAAACCTTGGGAAGCTGCTCTCTGGAGTGGCTGGGGTGCCGCGTCCATCCCTGGTGGCCAGGGCCGCTCTTTCCCCAAATCCTCACTCACCTTCGTCAGCCGGTTTCCCGAGGAGCGGGCGAGACCATCCCTCACTGGAGTTTGCCTCTCCCGGGTCACCAGTGAAGCTGGGCGCGTCTTCATACCCACTGGGTGCCCGGCCTCCCCTCGGCACGTTCCCTGTCCACACCCTTGGCCCACCCTCCCTCCTGTTGTCCGTCTTCACTGACGTGGAGCAGCTCTTCTATGGCCTTTCTTCTTTCTGACCTTCTAATTCTGAAATTTCTAAAGGCTTGTTTTTTAACCCACCTAGACTTCATTTTTGTACATGGCACGAAACTAGAGTTTATATTTTCCATACGGGCCCCAATCCAGCGCTGTTAATGGGCGAGGGCACCCAAAACCGTCGCCGCCCAAGGGAACTGAGGCTGAACGTGCTTGAACCTCGGGGACCCGGGCGGGGCTCTCGGGGAGACGAAAACCCCGGTACCTGAGCCGAGCAGCCGAGCTGACGGGCGGCTGACGCGTGAGAACAGCGGCCACGCTGCAGCACCCGCAACGCCACCCCTGCCACACCAGACACGCGACCAGCGATTCAGACCACGGCACCCGGCCGACAACCCGATGACCGTCCCGCACGGCACTGAGCACTTCTCGGGGACAGCGGGGAGCCCTGCTGAGCGCCCGAAGTCAGCCTCCTGCAAACACTTACTCGCAGGGGACGTGGGCATCTTCCGGGAGGGCCGCCGCTCCGCCCTGGGGTGCCCCGTGGGGGTGTCCAGGTGTCCGTCCGGGCTCAGCAAGTACTGGAACTGGACGGTCCCCGACTCCACCTGCCTCACCTGCAATCGAGCACAGAGCAGTGAGGGCCACACTCCTGTCATCGGCACCCTTTTATCAGAATAACTCACCCCGCCCCAAACGTCTAAGGAGACGCCTGTGCTTAGAGTACAGTCAGGTAATTTTCCGAGCAGAAAACAATCGGCTGTGGCCTCAGAGCCCCAGGAAACCACATCATCCCAGAGTAGCCCTACGTGAGCAGAAACCCTGCACAACATTCCCCCAGTTTGGGTTTTGAATGTGGGTTTTAAATTAACCCGTAAACCTGGCTTCCGCTTTGGTGTACCGTGACCCAGCACAGGCAGGGTACAGAACGGCCCGGTCACCCCAACGCTCCCTCCCGCTGCCCCCTTGCGTCTGGCCTTTCCGCGCGTGTCCTGTAACCGGAATCGACGGCGCCTGACTTTCGAGACCGGCCCCTTCCCCCAGCACATCCCGGCCCCGGTGTATCTCAACTGCCCACCCTTCCCGCGGCCAAGCAGCACGCGGCTGTGCGGCGGGCCAGCTTCTGTGTCCGTCCACCCGCCTAAGAACACCGGGGCTGTGCCGGCGCGGGCGGGGTCGGGCGCACACACTCCTGTGTGGCCATGTCTCCACCTCCCCGGGCTCTGTTCCTCCAAGCACGGCATTGCTGAGCCGTGTGCCACGTGTGTGTTTGGCCCGACAGGGCCCCGCCTGGCTGCGACTGGCTCTGCGCCGTGTGCCGTCCGGCCGACCTGCACGCGCTCCCTGGGCAGCCGCACTCACACTGTCGCAGCTTCACCGACACGTGAGTCCTGCGATTGCACTGCTCTTTCCAAAACTGTTTTCATGCAGGACGGCATAAAAGAGCTGAGGAACCCACCCATCATCCCTGGGTGTCAATATGAAGGTCTGAGGCTGTAAACTAAGGAAGAGCAGCAGAAGCACAACACTCAGAAAGCGAAGTAAAAACCGAAAGTCGGCTGAGAGCTGGAGTGGCCGCCTCTGCAGACACGATGTGTTAAAGACCAGTATTTGCTCAAGGGGAAAATACAGGCGTGTTGAGGAAGGAAAACATAATCATAGTACACTACCAACCTTCACAGTAAATAACACTCAAATAATCACAACCTAAACCCCAAAATTTACTCACCCAAAACCTACGGTAGGTTTTGAATATGTCTGCTTTTCTTGGATTAATATCTGCCACTCCCACTCAACTGTGAGGTCCACAGGCTCGGGGGCACTTTTCCTGCATGTGAGCGAGCGAGCGAGGTAAGGAACTAGCCGGGGTAGGGGCGGAGCAGAGGCTCACCCGGGTGCCCACAGATGCTGGCAGGAAGGAGCAGGGGCACCTTCA